AGCTTGAGTATAACTGCAGTAAGCATTTTATACTTATATTCCAACCCCGTACGATGGACGGGTACTCTGCTAGTACTATTATAAAGCTGAAATAGACTTTTTCCCAATTTTAAGGGTATGGATTAGTTAATGGAGTATGATTGGTTGTGTTGCTGGAGTAGGCAAATGGGACATATTTTCATGCCCAAATAAAACTAATATCTACAGATCCTAATATTAAGGATTTAATTCCTATTGCGATTAGCTTTTGCTATTCCTATAATTAAAGCGCAAGGCCAAACCTTCACAAAAGTTGGCATTTATTTAGAAAAAAACCCATGGTCAACTTTATGTTGCTTTTAGCCGGGTAAAGCGGCCAGATGATGTTAAAATAATACTAGAACAAAATAAAGACCAAGGAATCGATCAAGATGCAACAAATGTTGTTTTCAGAGAGATTTTGTTATTGAATTAGCATTTTACAATTTGGAGGATGACATTATCCTTATGTGTTTTATCGAAGTGAATCTGTCTACATTCAAAGAAATATATATATGCAATAAATAATATAAATGCAATAAGAAATATAAATGCAATAAATTAATAACTAAAGGGTACTAAATGTTCAATAATTTATTTCAATAAACAATATATATATATATATACAGTGGAGTCCCGATAATCCGAACTTCGGTAATCCGAAAGTCCGCTTAATCCAAAACCAAAAAATATATTTTTTATATAAAAAAAATTAAAATTTCTAAAACTTAAAAGTTTTTGTTATGTGAATGTCCAGCAGACGGTGATTTAGTAGAGAGTAGTCATGAGTAAAATAATATATTTTTGTAACTTTTTAGTTTAAAAATCCTATCTCATAACAAATAATTACTTTACATAAAACCTGTATTACTGATTGTTTGATGGAACATGCAGCACAATTGTTTACTAGACAACTGTAACAATTGTTGTCCAGACATTTTGTACTATACTTTATCACAAAATACTTGATACTTGATCACAAAATTTATGCGGTTTTAGAGGAAGAAATTGACTTGCTTCACTTGCCCTTACCTTTGCTTTAAAACAATAGCTCTACAGATGAGGTTTGCCTAAACGTCAATCATATGCAACATAAAGCAAAAAAAAGGTAGTGGGGGAACTTCCCCTCAAACCACCTAAATTTTGTGAACGGACTATAGTTTTGTAGTTACTATTGTAAAATAATTCAATAAGAGTACAGAAGATGCTTGCTAATCCAGCACATTCCGGACTTTGGAATTGTAGGATTATTTAACTTTTCTAAAAAATGCCGTTATTGTATGACTAGCGAGACTACCAATTGCTCCAGCCGTCTTAACAATCGCTTCTTAAGTCTGAATGATTCATGATGCAACTTAACTCTGAATAATCGCTACTGAAGTCTGAACGAACGCTCCATCTGCTGATAGCTACCAACGTCTGCTAATACGTTGAAATTGACTTAAAACAGCATAAAAAACCATCAGACCTTTAGACTGATGCTGGATTGAAAGTGTAGGATCATCAGATGCCGGATTGGCAGGCCTTACTACAAAAGGAAATTTTATCATATGCGACATTTGACATAATTGGGGTAGGCCTATACAAAATAATTATAATAATATAAATATAGTTAAACAATACTTGAAATATGAAGTAATGAGTTACTGTTCTTAAGTAGGTTTGCAAATAAATAAGTTATGGGCAAAAAACAGATTTCGGTACATAGCGTTTAGCTAAGAATGCATAGCCTAACTATAGCTAGGAATCTGGCTGATAATTTACATCAATATCACTACCTACTTCTTCAGGATCATCAACCAGCCCTTCAAAATCACTTAAATCTTCTTTTAATGCACCACGTATATCACTACTTCTGATTTTTAACACTAAAACAATGATAAACATAATAAAACACATCAGTCATCGGTGCGAGGTTAACCAAGCTGTTTACAAATACGCACGTCAGCTGTCTGCTACAATTTTTTCGGAACTGAAATGAAAAGGGTATAGAAACAGACATCAGGAGAAAGCTCTGAATCTGCTGAAAAAAATAATACCTAACTCGATCCAGTTCAATCCGATTCAGTCAGTCCCAGAGCCGTTGTTTAGTGAGAAGCCATATCTAATCTATTAAGAAGCCGCAACAATAGATGGCGTCTCACTAAACAACGTTGTGCATTCGGAAATGTCAAAAAACAATGTCTTACAAAACATCTAACAAACTATCTAATCTATTAAGAAGCCGCAACAATGACCTTATCGATAAAAAAGATAAGACTGGTGTATACAAAATCACATAATCACATTATATAAAAAAAATTAAAATTTCTAAAACTTAAAAGTTTTTGTTATGTGAATGTCCAGCAGACGGTGATTTAGGGGCTGAACTGCAGGTTCGATCCTGTATTTATTTATGCAATCCATCTAAACTTACTAATGTCTGGCTTAGCCATTGGGAGGGCAAACCTCGGATTGGGTTATATTAAATTATTTCAAAACAGTTTTTGTAATAAAATAAACGAGGTGTTAGCCCGTCCTACGTACGGGAATTCAGTAGTGAGTTAAAACCGTGTAAAATTCAGATCAGCTAGTTTACACATATAAAGACAAAGTTTCTTGCAGTTTTAATGTGTAAAATCATCTTGTAAACAAAAACAAATGTTGTGTGACCAAATATGTTTTTATTCCATCATAAGCCTATACGATATGCATTTTAAATCCGACAATTTTACAATAAAACAGCAAATCTGCAATTTTTACGATGTAAAAAGCGTTGAAGTGAGATTTGCAGCCGATTCGCACATACGCACATTGATTATAAGGAGCCTACAGTAGAGGGAGTAATAATAAATTGAGAAGTGTAGGTATAGACCTAGTCAACGATACCACCTTCCATAGCATACCTCCCTCTTCCATAATTATTATCACCACAATACAACTACTATACACAATTTCCAGTAGGTCTGAATAGAAACGACCTAAAATAAAACGATAGTATCCAATAAAATTCACAGTACACATAATTTAACTTTGGTGCCCTAACATCAAAACTAATCGTCACACCTATCCTTTATATCAATTTCACTGCATTAATTGCTAAATAAATAAGCGTAAACAAAGAAAAGTAAAAACAATAACAGTTTGTTTTGAAACAGCTGTTTGGTTCAAATAATATTCATTTGAACTAAAGAACTGGTCACATGTAGCAGGAATATAAAAAGTAAACACGCTACGCTAGTAAAGCTAATGACGTAATTGTCAATGTTTATTATCCATACCGTTATCAGTTCTATCCTTGATAATTACCCACCCCCATTGAATAAATGTACATCGCTATAATTTCCTATATTAGTTACTTTAAACTACAATTCATAGTTGAAATAAGTGATAATTTCACATTTGGGGGAGCTGATATGGGCGCCCCCAACCGTAACCACAACTGAACACGATTTCATAAAAGGATGGTTTGTCTAATTGCAGTATCCTAGGTCAATGTTGATGTTGTGTTCAATCTATGTCATCCATCTGTTTATCTTTGTATAAAACCCGGCTGAGGTTGTGGTGGTAATTTAAAATCGTGATTCCTGATTATTCTTGATCGTCTTTTTATGACATTAATATTTCCGGGCCTAATCCAAACAAAGTTAAAGCAGACGAACATTAATTGTAAACAAAAAGCTACCATGAAGAATTAAAACATGTAAACTTTGTTATTTTTCTAATCTTTCCTTGAAAAGTGGAGCAGTAAAATAATTTGCATTTACCCTTTTTTATTAAGACCCGTGTACAGAGCCTCGATTTGTACTGTGGTTTAATTAATTTTGGTTAAAACTGTGGTCTAATTTTCTCTACTAATCTTACTTATTTCCTATAATCAATGACAAAAATAAAATAACCTCATAGTTCCATAGTTTATATTTAACCAGCTGTTAGTTAAAACAAATTATATTGCTCTAAAACAAATCGAAGACTACAAAGATTGCTTTAAAAAATAATTTGAACATCCTAGTATTTTACTGTGTATATTTATTACAGAAGAATTAAACGTATCATTGGGCGCGTTCTGGGAACATGTACCGGTGCACCGGTGCAGATTAACCGGTGACTTACTCACCGGTACCGCCCCGGGGCAAGAGTCTTGGTATCCCAGAATGGTTATTCACCGGTTTACGGTACACATCGGATTATAATTTACACATTCACCTATTATTTACTTTATAATATTTAAACCAAACAAACTTGTCCTCACAGGATACATTATTTGAAAATTATTCACTTAATACGTAATTTAACCCTCCATAGAATAAATTATTCACTCATTACGCAACATAACCTATAAAACTGATGAACATTATTCGATGGACCAGCCATCTTGCCGTAGCTGCATGCTGTTGTCCAAGAAACTGACCAATCAGAGGCCGCCGGTGTATTATGCACCGTACAATTTCTCCGGTGCATAAATCTTGCACCGGTGGAGGAAAAGAGGAAATAGCTGTCTGCTAGGTTAACTCACCGGTCTCCCAGAACGACACATTTTTTGCACCGGGGCAACACCGGTGCACCGGTGCATGTTCCCAGAACGCGCTCAATGATTAGCATTACACATAGTATAAATAAGTCAACCCTAGTATGTCTTTACATTTTTATCCAAATGCTGAATTTGTGACACAAAAGCTGAATGTTTACAGCTGTTATGTTAAGCAAATTATTTTATGCCAAAAGCTAGTTTAGAATCTTAGCGTCGGCTGCTAGACTTTTTAAAAATTAAAACTTAATTTCTAAAAAACTGGGCCCCTAAACTAAAATCATGGCTTCGACATTCCCTAGTTCTCAAAATTATCTTTCTTTCAACACAAAAATCATGAAAATCTGTCGAGTGGTTGATTCAGAATCGTGAAATAAAAAAACACTGTTTCGTTTTAATATTATAGATAATTTATTTAAAAGTAAAATTAGTCTTTCAGAAATGTCATTAGTTTTCAATTTCTTGATCAAAGAAATAGAATTTTAAAATAGATTTATTCAAAAAAATAAATAATAAACAGTACAATATACAAATTTACAATATCTATTGAACATCACACTAAGTTGTCTAGCAAACAACATCCTCTGGTGCTACAGTGAGTGTCATAAAGGTTCCTTTCCTCAGTACCCTCATCTTCAACATCTGTGCCTGGGGAGAGTCCAGGTAGTGGTACACACTGTTGGCTCCTATCACTGGCTTGTCATTGATGTGTGTCACTATGTCACCAGGCTTGATCCCAGCGCTAACACATTGAAATGAGAAATAGTTTTATCTGTATTATCTGATCAAAATATGCAGTGTTTTCATAAAATAATAGGAGTCTAATATTCAGAAAAACTGTTTTGAAAAAAATCACACCACAATTTATACTTTTTCCCCTGCATCCAGCATCAATAATATTCATTCTAATAGCCCTGGAACTGCTATTTTGATGATTACATATTTGCAGTAGGCCTACCTGTTATGGTGTTTCAAATGGTAAAAGCCATGTGTATTGAGCGAGTGTAATGAAACCATTAATGAAGCTAATGAAGCAGATGAAATATATATCTCCTGAGTTTAAGTGTTTGACAATGGCATTCTATTGTGGCTTTTACTATTTGGAACAACATAACAGGCACTGTAAACTAATAATAGTCAACTTTAAACAGTTTTGTTTAAATTCCTTAGAATAGTAGTGTTGATTAATGTATATTGTCTAAAATAGAGCATAAACTTATTTATGTCTGGAGAGCAACATATGGAGAACGAATTAAAGTATTTTGATTTTGAGTAGCAAACAATATTGTAGCCTACCATGTCATGAGTAAAATAATATATTTTTGTAACTTTTTAGTTTAAAAATCCTATCTCATAACAAATAATTACTTTACATAAAACCTGTATTACTGATTGTTTGATGGAACATGCAGCACAATTGTTTACTAGACAACTGTAACAATTGTTGTCCAGACATTTTGTACTATACTTTATCACAAAATACTTGATACTTTATCACAAAATTTATGCAGTTTTAGAGGAAGAAATTGACTTGCTTCACTTGCCCTTACCTTTGCTTTAAAACAATAGCTCTACAGATGAGGTTTGCCTAAACGTCAATCATATGCAACATAAAGAAAAAAAAAGGTAGTGGGGGAACTTCCCCTCAAACCACCTAAATTTTGTGAACGGACTATAGTTTTGTAGTTACTATTGTAAAATAATTCAATAAGAGTACAGAAGATGCTTGCTAATCCAGCACATTCCGGACTTTGGAATTGCAGGATTATTTAACTTTTCTAAAAAATGCCGTTATTGTATGACTTAAAATTCATTTCCATTCTAGCTCCTGAGCTGTTGTATTCAATATAATAAATAGGTTACATACCTTATAAATCCGACAAACAGCTCAATTTAATTGAAGGTCGTTTACATGTTTCGGCTTGTATCGGCCATTGTCAAAACGTTGCAGTTGGATGGTGAAATCCTTGTCATTGTTTTCTACTAAAAGTACATACACAAACACATACCTACACACACGGACGGGACGAAAACATTACGAAAAACGAATAAAACTTTAAATAGGCCTATTAAATACACGGGCAGGACGCACGCACACCGTTGTCAAGGTCAGGATGCAGACTGGACTAGTAGTTGTGTCGGTGTTGTCTTATCAGCTGATGTGGACTGCTGACCAATGGGCGTCGAACTCTGCCTTTGTTTTAATATGCTATTGAAAATGTGATGGGATTTGAATTTAAGTTTTTCATTCAGAATTACGCTCTCAAAATTGTTGTTCTCATTAACCTGTGCCTTATAAATTTCGAATTCTTCGAGAGTGTTAAGTCTGCTTCCCTTTTGGCAAATATGTAGGATTTCAAGGCCTTTACTAATATCGTTCATATCATGGTTTTTATCGACCAAATGCTGAGCAAACGATGATTTTTGTTTTGTATTACGAGGATCTGGTCTATGCTCCTTGTATCTAGTATTGAAATCTCTACCTGTCTGCCCAGTATACGTGCTAGGACAACTGGCACAAGTTAATTTATATACACCACATTTGTCATATTTATCACCACATCTGGTTGAATTGTTTAAAATATTTACGGAACGATTAGTTGTTCTGAAGGATAGATTTATACCATGTTTAATCAATTGTTTGGATAGGCCGTTATGCAGAATGTTACTGTATTCAACGCAAACATACTTCTCATTGTCCTTTCTTGTGAACTCAGATTTACTGGCTTTTGATTTATGTTTGTGAATGAGCTTATCAATTAAATTAATATGGTAACCATTGGCTATGGCAGTGTGTTTTATTATGCCTAGTTCTTTCTCATAATTCGCAATAGACATGGGTATGTTCAAGAGCCTATGTACCATACTGTTGTAAGCGGCATGTTTCTGAGATGGCGGGTGGTAAGATGAGGCGTGGATTGTCATATCTGTTGTGGTTGGTTTCCTATAAACACTGTAATCAAATTTGTTGTTGATTTTCTCAATAGTGAGGTCTAAAAAGTTGATTTTATTGGCGTTTTCAGTTTCCAGGGTGAATTTTAGCTTTGGATCAATGCTGTTTAAATATTTATGTAATATATCAAGTTGTCTAGCACTTCCATCAAACAACAGTATAGTGTCATCAACATAACGATGGTACATTAGTATTTTATTTTTGAGTTTATTTTTATCAGAAAATATATGTACTTTTAGTAGAAAACAATGACAAGGATTTCACCATCCAACTGCAACGTTTTGACAATGGCCGATACAAGCCGAAACATGTAAACGACCTTCAATTAAATTGAGCTGTTTGTCGGATTTATAAGGTATGTAACCTATTTATTATATTGTATGACTAGCGAGACTACCAATTGCTCCAGCCGTCTTAACAATCGCTTCTTAAGTCTGAATGATTCATGATGCAACTTAACTCTGAATAATCGCTACTGAAGTCTGAACGAACGCTCCATCTGCTGATAGCTACCAACGTCTGCTAATACGTTGAAATTGACTTAAAACAGCATAAAAAACCATCAGCCCTTTAGACTGATGCTGGATTGAAAGTGTAGGATCATCAGATGCCGGATTGGCAGGCCTTACTACAAAAGGAAATTTTATCATATGCGACATTTGACATAATTGGGGTAGACCTATACAAAATAATTATAATAATATAAATATAGTTAAACAATACTTGAAATATGAAGTAATGAGTTACTGTTCTTAAGTAGGTTTGCAAATAAATAAGTTATGGGCAAAAAACAGATTTCGGTACATAGCGTTTAGCTAAGAATGCATAGCCTAACTATAGCTAGGAATCTGGCTGATAATTTACATCAATATCACTACCTACTTCTTCAGGATCATCAACCAGCCCTTCAAAATCACTTAAATCTTCTTTTAATGCACCACGTATATCACTACTTCTGATTTTTAACACTAAAACAATGATAAACATAATAAAACACATCAGTCATCGGTGCGAGGTTAACCAAGCTGTTTACAAATACGCACGTCAGCTGTCTGCTACAATTTTTTCGGAACTGAAATGAAAAGCATATAGAAACAGACATCAGGAGAAAGCTCTGAATCTGCTGAAAAAAATAATACCTAACTCGATCCAGTTCAATCCGATTCAGTCAGTCCCAGAGCCGTTGTTTAGTGAGAAGCCATATCTAATCTATTAAGAAGCCGCAACAATAGATGGCGTCTCACTAAACAACGTTGTGCATTCGGAAATGTCAAAAAACAATGTCTTACAAAACATCTAACAAACTATCTAATCTATTAAGAAGCCGCAACAATGACCTTATCGATAAAAAAGATAAGACTGGTGTATACAAAATCACATGTGATGACTGCCCCTCTTTCTACATTGGCCAAACTTCAAGGTCATTTTCAAAACGTTTTAAAGAACATTTACCTAAAAAACATTCTACCTCAGCCTATGCCAATCATTTGATCGATTCAAACCATAAATATACAGATTTGAATACAAATTTGCAAATCCTCCATACATGCAATAAAGGCCATTATATGAACACATTCGAAGAGTATGAAATATACAAATCGTCCAAACAAAATCCCCAATTTGTATTGAATGAGAAGTTATCATTTGAATTCATTGTCCTACTTCTGGATATTGCTTTATATTAATTAAATTAATTAAATTGTGTCAAACAATGCGTTGGCCTGGGTATTTAATTTATCATTTAAAAGGTTGTTGCCGACAATGGATACGACCCCACACTGCCTGACAAAATACTGCATAGAAAGAAAAATGTACGCCCAAATGCAAATAGGGAAAAACGGTATGTTACTCTCAGTTACGATAACCAATTATGCCACAAATTTTCAAACATTTTGAAGATAAGAAATTACAAAATTTCTTACAAGACCACAAACAAACTAGAAAGCATTTTGAACAAAAAGCCACAAATAAAAAATAAATACGAAACATGCGGGGTGTATAAAATAGCCTGCAACGACTGCCCAAAATTTTACATTGGACAGACTAGGAGGTCTTTCAAAACACGGTTCAATGAACACCTGCCTAAAAACAAAGCAACTCAAACTTCAAATTATGCTGAACATTTAATTAACACCAACCATAATTATTCTACAATAGATGAAAACCTACAAATTCTCCATAGATGCAACAACAGAAACAGAATAACAGCATTAGAAAATTACGAAATTTACAAAGCAGCAAAATCCGTCGGCAACAACCTTTTAAATGATAAATTAAATACCCAGGCCAACGCATTGTTTGACACAATAATTAGAGTAAACCAGGAATCAGCTGATCGACACGTCACGTGACCTTGAACTGGACACTGCAATGCCAGTCCAGTCGCCGCCGGCCCGACCAAACGCGTGCACGCACCGTGACGGTACCAAAGTAAATGTTATGTGTTTTTCTACGTGTGTTCTATGTTTTATATTTTAAATTGATGACGAATCTGAGAAGAGGATACCTGAGGATGTGGCAGTCGCCACGAAACATGTAGTTGTTTATCCACCAACACTAAACGGATATTGTAAGGTAACAATAATAATTTAATTAATATAAAGCAATATCCAGAAGTAGGACAATGAATTCTGATTTACTTGCGAACCAAGCAAAATGTTCCTACAAATACAAAAATTTGAAATTAAAACTACTGAACACCATTGAAAATATCAGATTCAACAAACATTGCCAAACCCAACAAATAGTTCCTAATTACATCCATGTTAGAATAAATACTGAGAAAATTTGGATCCAAGAGGAGATTAAATTTCTTTATAGCAAAAAAGACATGCTAAATCAGGAACTCTACAAAACTCACCTACAACTTGCAAACATGCTAGGTCCTGACAACACACTCAGTTTAATTGACTGTATAAACGAAAGCATTGAAGCCATAATTACAAAAAAACGTGAAACCCAAAATGACAAAATTTTGAGACTTAATGAAAAACAGGGTAGATGTGATAACATCCAAAACATTAAATGTGACCACGAATTTTATCCAAAAGTCCTAAACGAAACAAACATTGTATTCAGTAACGAAGAAATATGCCTGCTGAACAAAGGTTTGAAACATTGCTTACAACCCCAAAATAACCTAAAAAATCTCACCAATGAAGTCTTAAACACTGAAGCTACAATACTTGAGCTCCCATGCGAGGAACAAAATGAAATAAGAGTACTAGTGAATGACAAACTGACAAGAAACGTAATCCCCAAAGTTCAAAAACAAAAAAATTCTAACATTAAAGACTTCCGTGTGGCTAAAGAAATTAAAAATAAACTGTCCTCTAATAACGCCATATTGACCAAAGCCGATAAAGGTAACACCACAGTAATCATGCATGAAAATGAGTACGACCAAAAAATAAGCCAGTTCATCACCAACAATAACATAGAACAGTTAAAAAATGATCCCACCCCACGTTTCCTCAAGGACATAAACTCAAAGATCAACAAGTCGAAGTACCTCCTTTCAGACGGCACAAAAAGATACCTCAAAATCACAGCCCCACACGCCCCGAAATTTAGGGGACTCCCAAAAGTCCATAAACCAAACATACCAATAAGACCACTAGTAAATTACACATCAGCCCCAGCATACCGTACAGCTAAGAAAATCGACAGAATAATTAGAGACAACATAAAACTGAACCCCAACTTCAGCTTACGCAATAGCATTGAACTGATTGACAAGTTAAATGAAATCAAACCCGCAAACGGACATACTCTCATGTCTCTTGATGTTGACAACATGTACACCAACATACCCGTTGAGGAATCTATTGCAATACTTGAGAAACGATTGACAGAAAACAACACGTTATGCCAAAACAAAATCAAAGAATTGATAGACCTAACCAAAGTAATATCACAACAAAATTACTTTGAATACAAAGGCAATTACTACATACAGAAGGAAGGGTTAGCAATGGGTTCACCATTATCCAGCATATTAGCCGAATTGTTTCTTAACGACTTTGAAACTAAGCATATTATCAACGAAACATCAAAATATAATGATAAAGTTATATTCTATCAGAGGTATGCTGACGACGCAATATGCGTATTCAAAGGCAATGCCAGACAAATCGATCTTTTCACCAAATTTCTGAATGACAAACACCCAAAAATCAAATTTAAAAATGAAATAGAACAGGACAGAAAAATTAATTATCTTGACTTAACCATCACACGCAATAGTGACAAATTCCAATACAGTATTTACCGCAAACCTACCCAATCCAGCCAAGTAATTCATGCATCTTCACACCATCCAACCTCACACAAAATGGCAGCATTCAACTCATTTATACATAGATTGAAAACCGTCCCAATGAATGAAGACGATTACAACAAAGAACTAGAGATTATTAAATACATAGCAGCCGACAATGGCTACGACCCCACACTGCCTGACAAAATACTGCATAGAAAGAAAAATGTACGCCCAAATGCAAATAGGGAAAAACGGTATGTTACTCTCAGTTACGATAACCAATTATGCCACAAATTTTCAAACATTTTGAAGAAAAGAAATTACAAAATTTCTTACAAGACCACAAACAAACTAGAAAGCATTTTGAACAAAAAGCCACAAATAAAAAATAAATACGAAACATGCGGGGTGTATAAAATAGCCTGCAACGACTGCCCAAAATTTTACATTGGACAGACTAGGAGGTCTTTCAAAACACGGTTCAATGAACACCTGCCTAAAAACAAAGTAACTCAAACTTCAAATTATGCTGAACATTTAATTAACACCAACCATAATTATTCTACAATAGATGAAAACCTACAAATTCTCCATAGATGCAACAACAGAAACAGAATAACAGCATTAGAAAATTACGAAATTTACAAAGCAGCAAAATCCGTCGGCAACAACCTTTTAAATGATAAATTAAATACCCAGGCCAACGCATTGTTTGACACAATAATTAGAGTAAACCAGGAATCAGCTGATCGACACGTCACGTGACCTTGAACTGGACACTGCAATGCCAGTCCAGTCGCCGCCGGCCCGACCAAACGCGTGCACGCACCGTGACGGTACCAAAGTAAATGTTATGTGTTTTTCTACGTGTGTTCTATGTTTTATATTTTAAATTGATGACGAATCTGAGAAGAGGATACCTGAGGATGTGGCAGTCGCCACGAAACATGTAGTTGTTTATCCACCAACACTAAACGGATATTGTAAGGTAACAATAATAATTTAATTATCATTTGAGTCGAACATAATTTACAATAATGCTATGAAACTATCAGCTGACGGAGACAATGGCGATAACACAGACCAAGGTTAAGGAAGGTCAGGAGAGGGACATTACGTCATCCACTGGACTTGGACATGCAGTCATGATTCATCTTCCAGTGTCACCACACGTGTCCCTTGTGAAAAACTACACTGGCCAGTTTTTTAAAGTATTATATTTGTTTTTTGTGTTTTTTGTGTTTTTTGTGTTTTTCGTGTTCATGTATGTGTTCTAAGTGTAACGACGAATCTAACCAAATTGGTTAGATGACTTATTGCTTATTGACGTTTTTGTTCAACCAGAAGATGGACTTTTTAAGTCCGAAACTATAGTAGTGTACTACTGAAACAGGATCACTTGACGAAGCCAGGTAACATAAACCATCTAGCATTAAATTTGATAAAATTTTTCAACCGTGTGGACTTTATCATCATCTTCCGCTATCGCAGCAAAATTCAGGTCATATTCTGCTGCCGTGTAAATATCATTATCATCTTTGCGGTAATGTAGCCATCATGGTTGTCCCACGATCGCGGCAAAATCATGAACATCTCCCGTGGTCATGTAGACATTATCGTGGTCTTTGGGATCGCAAAACATTCTGATTATCTCTCACAGCCGTGTAGACATCACCATTGATTCCAATGTCATGTAGACATCATCATTGTCCCGTGATTGCAGCAAAATCTTGTACACCTCCCGCGACCGTGTACATATTATCATTGACTTTCAGGGTTATGAAAACATCATCGTTGTCTTGCGCGATCGCCATGAAATTTGTTTTTCATGATCCATAAAATTGCCACAGTGACAACAAAATAAGACTAAATCCTGACTTTTCAAGACCATTTTGAAATTCAATAATAATTCCTGACTTTCCCGTTTTTCCCCGACTACTACACACGATGCACTAATAATTAAGGTTGTGGTGGATATTACTGATTACAACATTTACAGCTTACTTGTCGGCAGGAGAGTCGATGACAACTTTCCAGATGACAACTCCCTGGTTGAGACCTGGAGGAATGACGAGGCCCCTGACTGTCAGGTCTCTCATTATAGTCTCAGATAATGTGATCATAGTGGTGCCGATGTAGCGACGAACTGACTGTCTCCCGTCTGTAACCAACGCCATCCAGACTGTGTAATAGTATAATGGGCTAAGCCAACAGGTACAAGATATGTCACTAGTATGATACTTAGTAAAAAAAAGAAATAAATTTAAACTTTAAAATTCTGTTTAGAGAAGTTGGAAATTGCAGGATAACGTACGTTAAAGTTTCACTAATCTTAAATAACAGGGTCTGAATATTTTATGAGTCAGTTTTATGTGAAATCCTAAAAGATTAATTTTTCACACCAATTAGTAAAGAAACTGGACAAAATTAACCACTGGACAAAAGTACTGAAAAAAAACTTGTCACCTTTGAAAATAAAGTACTAAGAAAGGTTTTTGGACCAACAAGAGAAAATGGTGAATGGAGGATCAAACATAACAGAGAAATTAGAGACCTGTATAAAGCACCAGATGCTGTGGCGGAAGCAAAAATTCGACGAATTAAATGGCTCGGGCATGTGTTAAGGAGAGAAGATGATGAATTGATAAAGAAAGTTTGGAAAGAGAACCCTGTTGAGAGAAGACCTCCTGGGCGTCCCAAAATGAGGTGGAAAGATGAAGTGACCAAAGATATGAGGAAGATAAGAGTCATGGAGGAAGATGCCGAAGATCGGAAGGAATGGAGGCATTCAGTTGGCGAGGCCAAATACCACCTTGGGTATCGATGGCCATGGGAGTAAGAGTAAGTAAGTAATTAGTAAAGAAAAATGTAATATTGTATTTAGTCATCTATAAGAGAGTTTTAAAAGCAGATATCTCATGAGCATTATACAGGGTGGCTTCAAAGTAACTTGCACCCCCCCTTAACCTTTTACCCATTTGAGATATTTGAAATTGGTTTGCAGCAACCGTCTTAGATATGAGGGGCTAAAATAATTATGATTAATTTAGAAAATGTTTCCCATAGTGGGGGTAGGTGTTAGCTCAAAGTTTTCAAATGGAAAATATAGTCAAGTTTGGTGTCATTTGACAGGTCTCGATGAAACTAAACAATATAAATAAAGAAAGATCGGCCATTAATAACAAAATGGCACCCTAAAATGATTCGTCCTGAATGAACGGACACAGAGATTGCTGATAACAGCAATAATGGGGAGTAGGGGATTTTCCAGGTAATGTTACTAACCAGCAGATGTTATCACCAATGGTTTGAACTCAAAAATTTTGCCTTGATAAAAATTTAAAGGTAATAAAATAGGCTCATGATAATAACTTTTTACGACGACAACGCTTCTTAAGGTGGGTTATTTAAAAGTAATTTTTGGTTGCCATTTTATCATTAGTTGTCCGATTTTTATTTTCTTTATGTTAATTGTTTATTTTTAACAAGGCCTGTAAAATGATACCAAACTCAACTATACTTCCCATTTGAAAATTTTGAGCTAAACCACAGCCACCTCTAATACAAGGCCGCGACGTTCGAACTGGCAACGCCGCAATCACACCCCCTCTGCGTCCGTCTTCACACGCGCTAGGCTATGAACATCAATGAGAGTATTGCTGCTTTGTATCAATGAATGAAAGTATTTAAATACGTAATAACATATTTTAGTAGATTTTAAGGTATGGTAAAATAGACAAAATTGTAATCTAGGTTGTTTATTTATTGAAAAATTGCAACATACCGCAATATGTCTAAAACTAAAAATATACAAACATAATGTTTTGGTTGCATTTATCGTATTGTTAGTACGATGAATGTGGAAATAGATGAACTTTAAATATTTCCTTTGTTAATTTGTTAATCTACACTATTATATAACAATCTCATGGTGTCTGTATATATGTGTGTTATTCAACATAGTAAAAACTACTAGACAGACTGTGCTTAAATTTTACAAAATAAAGCTACAATACCAAGAATGGTTATACAGTAGGACTAACTTATTGCCACTTCAATATTTGTAGAGACTTTGGGATTTGTAGAGACTAACATCTAACAATTTGTTCAAATAAAATTAATTTTTAATTTTTAATATTCTTTATTCTACCTAAGGAAACCATAAGTTAGCGACAACAAAATTTGAAGTTTTCATTTTGAAGGCATACTGACTAAATAATTTATTTTCTTTGAATAATTACTAAGAAAAACGTTTGCCATTTTGTAAACGATTTCAGAAGCTAGGCCTCCATATGGCTTTCCACAATATTAATAGAATTTTTTATCACATCAACATTCAGACTGGATTCCGAGACTATGATGCTTTTATTGTTAGATGGTGCAGTAGGTTACATATTTTTTACTAGTAGGCCTACTTAACAGAAACACCGGCTTATTTCTTTGATTTTTTATTATTATTTCTTTTATATTGGCTTATTTCTTATTTCTTCTTACATTTTTTTACAAATTTAATCTAAGCTCATATTCGTGAAAAATGCTTCACACAAAAACGAGAATATTTTTAAGATGTCTAATTTGATCAAAGAATAGCAGAAAGCAATTGTTGCTTACGCGGTGGATCAAGTAGAATCTTAGAACACTGTATGTATTATTCATTTTTAATTGAGCTATCGTAATTATTCTTGCATCCAGGCACATAACATCTATCTGGCATGCTGTAGTAAGAAGTTTAATGTCATTACTAATGATTAAAGGTAGTAGAAACGCGATTATGTACGTAGAATACGCGACTCCTCCATTCACTGTAATGGTAAAACGACCGAACGCCAAGACACTGATGCGACGTTGCCGCTTTTCACTCGCCGCGGCCTTGTATTAGAGGTGGCTGTGGCTAAACACATCCCTTGAAGGTCCATTGAGATCACTATCCCTAAAGGTAATTAAAAAAAAATTAACCATCATTATTGTAGCCCCTGATCTAAGAAGGTTGCAAACCTATTTCAAATTTCTTAAATGGTCAAAAAGTTAAGAGGGGGTTCAAATTACATTACTCTTCAGCCAACCTGTATATTCTAATAGTTTAATAAGGTGTGTTAAAAAGCCACACAATCAAATAGGGGGGTTTCATCACTAGGGCATAAAGTGACTCTTTTCGACCCGAGCCTATCGGAAAATGAGCGAGGGTCGAAAAGTCAATTTTGGCCCGTGTCATGAACTATATCTTTTGTCACATTGCATTATTCAATAAACTAAAGTTGAAAACAAAAATACTTTTCAAGTAAAGATAACCTCTCAAAACGACATCTAACTTTTTTCAATTCTGCTGATCTAAATAGGCAGCTGTGTGATAAGTTATTCAATCATTTTATCTATTACAATTGTGCCTACATAATACCATCGATATTCATTTCTTTTTTTAATATCATCACTTTACAATAGACCCTCTCTAAACCGACCTTGCATTAACCAATAATTGTACTATCCGCCCTCACTTTTGTTTTAACCGACTTTATTTTAAGAGCAGTTCGGTTTAACTGGTGCTGTCTATGAATATTGGCATTTCTGCTCCCATCCTCGGCGATGGGAACAATATTCTTAGCTCTACAGGATGTTACTAATAACAAGTTGTTATGTGTTTATCCTAAAACATATTGCATACTGTGTGTGTTAAGCCGCTTAGTTTATTACATGGAACCATGCTTAGGCTTTAATAACACTGTAAAAATTATAGTTTTAAAATAAAGTGTGTTTTATCATATACAGTACTAATACAATTACCGAACATAAAAATGGCATTGGTGAAACAAAACAATGGAACAGAAATATTGGACCGCCTTGACAGCGGTACGTTCTATAATATTACTAAAGGTAGTAAAATATTGGTATAAAGGTATAAATATTGGTATTGATTGACTCTTGCTTACAACTTACAACTATAATTTATTCCACTGAAATAATTTGACTTTACTGTGATTTAGGTTTATTTGTGACTTTTCTAACGTGAGTACTTAAGAAAGAAAGGAGACAAATGTTGGTAGTTTATTTTGTAAATAATGCACACACGACTTTAGAATAATGATTCTGAATGAAAAGCCCTTCTTTTTTTAGTTTTTAGGGATTGTCCGTTTTAACCAACCTTTTGAGTTATCCGACCTAGGTCCAGTCCCGTTCAGGTCGATTAAGAGGGAGTCTACTACACATCAATATTTGACAGGTGATTTGTCTTAAAACTCAAATCTATTGTATCAAACAACAACCAAAATATTATTGAATACTTAAAAATAACCATACATTTGTTAGTTAATCCTCCAGTAAATAAAATGCCTTCTCTAGAAGCCATATACTGTATGCTGAACTATTGACAAGAAAAGAATGCTACAATAAGCTAAAACCTAACCTGATGAATCAATCGATAAATAATTTCAATCCATTTGATTGCTTACAATTGAAATTTACAACTGTTTACAACAGCTGGTTTTTAATCCCTAGGAAGTAAAAATGCTACTTTAGACCTGCAAAGCATAAAAACTGCTCTTAAGCTGCAGTGTTTTTATTTAATGTTATGGCAGACTAAAACCAAGCAAAATCACTATAAGGAATATTATCTTTAAATAACTGCAAATATGAGTACTTTTGATTTTCTCCTGAGCATTCTTCAAAAAGGTTTTGGCGTAGTCAATTGGAATTGCAAAGGATATTCCTGCAGTCACTTTCATGGCGTTGATGCCAATCACTTCTCCGTCAAGATTTACCAAAGGGCCTCCTGAGTTTCCAAACTAAACAAAAAAAAAAAACAAGAAATGTAATTCATAAATAATGTTGTAGTTTCTAAGCACAGCAAAACATCAATTTACAGTTATTACTAATTATAATATACAGTAGACTCCCTCTTATCCGGACACCTTTTAACCAGACATCGGTTTAACCGGACTACACTGGGCGGAAATGACATCTCTTTAAACGGAAAATTTTTATCAGCACATTGGTTTAACCGGACTAGATCAGCAGGAAGTGGGTGCTACTGAAACCACTGTTCTCGTGGGAAAGATTTCAGACCAGTGATCACAAGTCTAAATACAATGCTCTCCTAAATTTAAGTTAAATATCACAGCAAACGGTCCGTATTAACGAGGTTTTAGTGACGTCGGTTTATGCGGAAAAACCGTTATCCAGACTGGCCTCGGTCCTGAGGAGTCTGGATAAGAGGGAGTCTACTGTAACTATCAATCTCTATTACATGTCAAAAACCCAAATGTCCACATTTCCATAAAACTTTTATGATGATTAATAATAACAACTAAATAGGATGAAAAAGAACCTAAACCAATGCCAGTATACTTTCCAAAAAATAATGTATAGAAAAAAAATACTTTTTAAAATACCACGTTTTTAAACGCACATTCTACTTTTTAGTCTTTAATGTGTAAATATGTTAAATCTATTTTATATGGCCTGTTAATACATAACCAAAACCTTATTATCTGTTTAATCAGATGTTTTATATTCATTTTGAAATGTTTGCTTTATATTTAGAATCTCTCGGGAGCATAACCTGTACCTCTTAACCTCTGCTCTTTGAAACTTGAGTATTTACGGCTGACTTCAATAAATTCATATATTTGACTATTTACATTCGTCCAAAATGTAAACATTAAAACTTTGGAAGCCCATGGGGTGTATCCCAAGGGAAACATGAAAATAAAATTATTTAATATTGAATTGTCATCCGTTTGTGGGCTATGTTTCATGTTTCAAGTCTCTGGCTCATCGGGAAGTTAGTATAAAATCATTTTTTCAATTTGTACCAGACAAGAAAGCAGGCTAATGAAAACGAGCCCATAGGGCGTAGCCCAAGGGAAATATGAAAGTAAAATGATTTAATATTGCATTGTCATCCATTTGTGAGCTATGTTTCAAGTTTCAAGTCTCTATCTAGCTCATCGGGTAGTTGGTTTAATATCGATTTCAAAATTTGTACCGGACAACAAAGCGAGCTAATAAAAACGTTTTAAAATAGAGCAGACATGGGTTTAATAAATAAATAAATAAATAAAAATGCCTTTATTTACGAGCGAGATTCATGATACATGTTTTTCAAACTGACTCAAGTCACTAAATCTAAACTATCCTAATATATTTACATAAGTATATACAAGAAATGTCAACAGAATGATTTAAAACATAAATTTTACACTTGTTTTTTTCATTGCGGCCCTGAATGAGTTATAAAATTTCGAACCCTTAATCACTTGAGGGAGGCCATTGTACAACTGCGGGCCGAAATAAGAAAAAGACCTTCTTCCAGCCTCAAGCCTAACTTTAGGAAAGTGAAGCCTGAGGTCAGAGCGAGTACTACGTAGACAGATCTCCCTCCTGTACTTCAGCCTCTCACTGAGGTAATGAGGCTCTCCCAGCGTGAGCACTTTGTGGACCAGGCAGCAGGTCAGCTTTCTGCACATGTCATCCATTGGGATGAGCTTAGCAGCATCTCGGTAGGATACGTGGTCAAAGCGACTAAGGCCAAAAATGAACCTTATGGCAGAATTTTGAATTCTCTGAACTCTTGCCATGTCCTCCTTAGAGATGCTGTTTCCATATGCAGGAAAGCAATATGTGAAGGCTGGAAGGACCAAGGACCGCATGAGTTGCGTTTTGGCATATTCTGGCAGGGGAGTTTTAAATCTGCTAAGACCTCTCAATCTTCCCACTGCACGTTGGACTGCAGATGTGACGTGGTCAGAAAAAGAGAGGTCCTTGTCAAGTACGACAGTTTAGTAACATTATACAAGACATAAAATATAATATTTTTTTCCTTCCTCTGCAGGGCTGCGTTAAGGGTCAGTGGAGCCCTGGGCAAACCCAAAAGCAGTGCCTCCTTTATTTCCTAGTGCGGGCAGGCAGTGGTTGAGGGGCACCCGGTGGGGGCATATGCCCAGTCTGCCTGTTTATAAAAGTGGCCCTGTTTCTCTGCCAATAATTGTTATTGTTTCTATTGGCAATTTATGTTTGTAGCAAATCCATTTGAATGGCATTGTTTCTGTCGATAAGAAAGAATTCACTTATAGAGTATTTACTTGTATTAGTTGTTTTGTGTAAAAACAGATCTTTTAGATTTGATTTACAAGAAAGCATGTATTTCACATGGCCTTAACATTCTCTCACAAACAAATAAATCAATAAGGCAGTTGAGTTATTTGAATTAATTATCCATTGAATTTATACAACCTGGGGGAACCACCACCAACGAAAACGTTCAGCTGAAGATCAGAAAACTTTGTTTGTTGCAATTTGATAGCCTTTGTTTGTGGTAAATAGACTTAGTTTCTTTTTAATATACAGTATTACAAGTAACTATGTCCTGTAATCAGAGTTCTGTTTAAAACTTAATACACCCAGAAATAGGATAGGACCAAACACACATCCACAACCCATGGTCCAGAATGTCATATTTTTAACTAATTTCACTTCTGCGGATTAAAAAGGTGGTATTAGGTCCTAAAATTGTAAGAAATACACTTCATAAAATCATACAAGGAATGTAAGTTTCAATGTTATGCTCACAGTGATAGGAGCATCAGTCTGAATGTAATCCATATCCTTGCCATGGAGTCCAATCTCTTGACTAGTGCGGAGGCTGGAGACAATGCCAGCAGTGACAGTGTTGGAGAGAGACAATGGACTACCCATGGCAACCACCCACTCTCCTACTCGCAACTCCTGGGATGATCCCATGGTCACTGTGTTCAGCTTGCGCTACAAACATTCATCCTGCTACAACTATTTAAGAATATTTAGAAACAGAAACTTTCTAAACAGCTTTTAACAACAAAGTACAAGCAATTAATACAAACCCTTTAAGAAGCGCAATGCCTTTGTTAAAAATTCAGTCTAGGAATATTTTAATTTTTATCCTTCCCTCGGCAGCCGCTAGGTAGCCCTAGACTATCGCGAGTGCGCGGCCAAGTCAGCTGACTGAGTGAGAGAGAGTGAGACTAAGAATTGGCTTAGAGAGATAGAGATAGAGTACCGGTAGCATGGCTGCCACATGAGGGATCCTAGCGGCGGCTGTGCCAAGCTCATTTTGGCAGCCAAATTCCAGTCTGATTATTATTCTCCAAAGCATTTAACTTCTTAAAGGGTTTGTATTAATTGGTTTAAGTAACTAACAATTATTGTGACACCTAGAATACTAACAACTTAATGCTTCTCAGCCTGTTGGGTAAGATCAAAGTGCAGTGTAAAACTAACAACTTTCACTTGACAAATGTTTCATGCCCAACTTCATTGGCTTTGTTGGAGTAACATATAAAAATGTAAGTACCAATCAATGGTAGGTTGACAATCTATATCTATACTATTATATAAAAATCTAATGGTATCTGTCTGTATGTGTGTTACTAATAGGTGCAAAAGCTACTGAACCAACTAGGCTTAAATTTTACAAAAATATAGCTACCATACCAAGGACCATTATAGGACTATTCACATTTCGATACTGACTGTAGACTTTGCCCCTTTGGCTAAAAGTTCTGAGGTGAACATTTTAACCCTTCGAGTGTTATGTGCCGTAAAAGCGACTCATAACACATTCGCTGTAGTGTTATGTGTCGCTTTTGCGACTCACAAACACTGTTTACGGCGACGGCTCTGGGACTGACTGAATCGGATTGAACTGGATCGAGTTAGGTATCGTTTCTTTCAGCAGATTCAGAGCTTTCTCCTAATGCCTGTTTCTATATGCTTTTCATTTTAGTTCCGAAAATATTGTAGCAGACAGCTGACGTGCGTATTTGTAAACAGCTTGGTTAACCTCGCACCGATGACTGATGTGTTTTATTACGTTTATCATTGTTTTAGTGTTAAAAATAAAAAGTAGTGATATACGTGGTGCATTATAAGAAGATTTAAGTGATTTTGAAGGGCTGGTTGATGATCCTGAAGAAGTAGTGATATTGATGTAAATTATCAGCCAGATTCCTAGCTATGGTTAGGCTATGCATTCTTAGCTAAACGCTATGTACCGAAATCTGTTTTTTGCCCATAACTTATTTATTTGCAAACCTACTTCCTTATATTATTATATTTTTGGAATCCTCATAAAATTCTGAACAAAGTGGCTATTTTAACCCTCCGAGTGTTATTTGCCGATGCTTCGAAACATAACACACTTTGTGTAGTGTTTTGTGTCGATGCATCAACTCACAAACACTGTTTACGGCGAACGCTCTATGACTGACAAAATCGGATTGAACTGGATCGAGTTAGGTATCGTTTTATTTGGCAGATTCAGAGCTTTCTCCGGAGGTCTGTCTCTAAGCGCTTTTCATTTTAGTTCCGAAAATATTGTAGCAGACAGCTGACGTGCGTATTTGTAAACAGCTTGGTTAACCTCGCACCGATGACTGATGTGTTTTATTACGTTTATCATTGTTTTAGTGTTAAAAATAAAAAGTAGTGATATATCAGAAGATTTAAGTGATTTTGAAGGGCTGGTTGATGACCCTGAAGAAGTAGGTAGTGATATTGATGTAAATTATCAGCCAGATTCCTAGCTATGGTTAGGCTATGCATTCTTAGCTAAACGCTATGTACTGAAATCTGTTTTTTGCCCATAACTTATTTATTTGCAAATCTACTTCCTTCTATTATTATATATTTGTAATCCTCATAAAATTTGGAACAAAGTGGCTATTTTCAAATATTTATAGGCCTATAATTTATACAATTTCATTGAGCGCAAACTTAATTTTTTTTCCCAAAATATTTTTTTTTACCTAAAAAAGTTTTTTGAAACAAATGTTCCTTATGTTTTATGTATAATATTGAAGCCCATGATTTTCCAAACAAAATGGTATATAGAACAGTATAATTAACATTGTTTTCAAGCTTCTCAGATCCGTTTTAATAAAACCTTGCAAATGAGCAAAAAATAGGCAGACATTATGGCCAAAACAAGGGACACTCGGAGGGTTAAAATATTTGTAGACCTATAAATTATAACAATTTATTGAGCGCAAACATAAATTTATTCATTTATTTTATAATTTTTGAGAAATGTTAACCCCACAAAAATTTTGAACATTTTTTTGTAATGTTTTATATGTTACATTGAAGCCCATAATTTTCCAAACAAAATGATATATAAAACAGTATACTTTACATTGTTTTGAAGTTTCTAAGATATATTTTAATAAAACCCTGCGATTGCGCAATAAATGGGCGAACATTAAGACCAAAACTAGAGACACTTGGAGGGTTAAAAGTAAATATTGATTGGTCTCCATGGCTGCGATGAGAACACTAACAATGTTTGTTTACATTTGCTTTGACATTTAAATGTAAACAAGAAGAACTGCTAAACTGCATATTTCACAATTTCAGACAGCTGATACAAAAAAATTAAATATAATATTTTTCATAACTATGAGGTAGGTTTACTTTAATCTAACATTTTATCATGGATTATTTATTCTAAAACTATGTCAATGATTATAGAAAAAAAAAGATTCTATAACCGTTGCTGTATCAACTCCGGCTCTGCTTTGGATTTTTTTAAGTGTCTTAAGTTATGAAAATAATGTTATTGATATGTTTTCATGGAAACAGTATGAAAATTACAATGTATAGATATTTAGTATGAACTAGCTGTGTGCCCGTTCTACGCACGGGGATCTTATAGTAGTCAGTTGAAACCTTCTTATATTAAGATTAAGAGCAGCAATTAGTTTGCATATTTGCAGATATGCTGGCAAAACTATTATATATAAACCTTCGCAAAATACAGTATCTGACAGTTCAAGCCAAAATAAATGCTTCGCAATTAAATGTCGCCCGGATCGTGTTGGTCCATATGTCCAATGATTAAACTTAAAAATGTTTTATAGATCCATGAAGCGTAGCCCTAAAGTAGGCCTATAATTGAAAGTTACTTTCCACATCGGTTAACTTAAACGTATTTAAAGTACTACCTTAACCTCACCATTTAACACTTTATTCCGGTTGACATTTTCAGTATCAAAGGTGCTCTTGTCCATTCCGTGAAACACTGAGAAATAAGGACATTAATGCGTTACCAACATACAACAAAACAACACAATACAACAATCCAACAAAGGCCACGAACTATTGATACATAAACAATATAAAGGCGTAAACAATTCATGATGGTTTGCCCAACAAATGTTTTACTCAAATAGGTTATCATTTTCTTAGCATACCGGGTAAGCTAAGATTTGGAATCCAGGCAGAAAAAGCAAAACTTATACAGAGTTAAGACATCACTTAAATTGAATACGGACGGCTCTAATAAATAAGGTGCAACACCAACGATATCTAATTTGTAAACTACCGGTTTTAAGGAAAAGAACCAGTACCTACGTAAGAACCTACCTAAGAATTACAGTAAATCGGACCAATTAAATACATTAATATCTAGCTTCGAGGTTATTGATCTCTTGCTTTTGGATTTTCTCGTAAAAAGTTATAGCATAAACTTATCGGTGTCAGTTTGAAAAAAAAGCAACCTTACCCAAACAACTTTTTGTTATTTAATAGATTACGCATTCTCTAAACAATGATTAGTACATCTATTAACATTCGAAGGAAATGTGACGAAAATCACACAATGTTGGGGTTTTGGTCATTTGTAATTATATTTCTTAAGTAGGTAGGCCATGTATTCTATGGAAAAGTACCGGTATCAAGGATCGTCGTCAAAAAGGTTGTTATGAATAAATATGTAGGCTTACGTACCCAAGATATGAGCTATGGGCCTATTGGCTGTATGGTCCAGCGATTGCATCACACGGTGAGTAGAAACAGAAAGTGACACATTGGAAAAGCGAGTTTAGCACTTCCTCTGTTAAACCTCTGTTACAATCACCCACTGCAGTTGTGATTTTTTACTTTACACTTTACACAATCGCCATTGAAGCGCCGTCAATGAGTGGAAACCTTTTTTGTAAGCTATTGGCGACGATCATTTCAGTGTCACAGCCCTATACAACACTGATTCAAGGTCTTCTTCTTTCTGGTTGTCAAAACTCAAGAAACATTTTATACTCAAAGAATTTCTGGTTCCGATTTGGACGATGTCTAGTTATTTAATTTCATTTACGGTTACACTATTAGACTATATTATTGCACTTGCGATTAATTAAATCCGTTATGTAAGAAAAACGTTTTTAATCTCACTTGGTTGGGATTTGCTTTCAAAACGTGATTCGAAATAGTTGCGGTATTTGTAAACAGCATTTGTAAACATGTCATTGACAGCTAGAAAAAATAATCTTGATCCGAACAGCTGTTCGTTATTTCATAGACGATTCTGTGATAAAAATTGAACGAAAATTTGACAAAAATCGCACAAAACTGCATTTTTGAACGTCCATAATTTTATTTACAAAGTAGTGAGGCTATATTTAAATCACTAAAGACACTCTTGCCAATCCAGTGAATACATTAAAATGGCTTGGATCTTTGTATGTATTCTGGTTTTCACGGAGAAGATTGCGTAAAATGCCATCTTGAGTGTTACAGACAAAGGGACAGACAGACAGACAGAAATTGAGATAAGACTCGTTTCTGCTTCTTTAATGTATAAAACGTAAAAATAACCTAAAAGTATATAATTCTGAGCAATGTACAGACAAAACTCTAATTTTATTTATATAGATTTGGAGGCTACTTTAAATAAATTCTAACTGCTTAACATGTGTTAGATTAACTTAACATAACTTGCACATCACATTGTT